GGCCGTCCGGCGGCGGCGGCGGGCCCCCGGGGAGCGAACGCCTGTCTCGCCCATCTTTTTTTTTTGTTTTAACGATGTTGACCGGGAGCAGTTTCCGGGGAGCGAGGCAGCACGATTCCAGGCTCGCACGCGCGCTGGTCCCGGGAGTCGGCCGACGGCACCCCCGCGCGGCCTGCACGGGCGTCCCGCCCGCACTGAAGGGAAAGCAAGCGGAACCCGGCAGCGCGGGCCGCGCCCGGCGGGCTCCTCCGCCCGCTCGAGCGGAGCCAAACGGCGCGTCCGGACGGCGGCCGCGGCCCGCGGGCGGCCAGGGAGCCGGCGGGGCGGCCGCGGCGGCGGCACGCGGGCTCCACACGCCGAGGGCCCGGCCGGCTCCGCCGAGCACGCGGGCGTCGCACGTACCTGCGGCCGCCTCAGGCTCGCGTCCGGAGGGCCCGGGGCACCGGCGCGGCGGCGGCCAGCACGCCTCGGCGCTCCATTCGGGGCTGTTTACCTCCAACTCTCGCGAGCGGGGCGCGCGGGCGAGCGGCTCGCCGCGGGGAGCGCTGGGAGCGTCGCCCCGCCGGCCCTGCGTGCCCTGCGTGCCCTGCGTGCCCCGCGCGCCCGGGGCCTGCGTGCGCGCTCCGGACGCCGGGGGCGCGGGCCGGGGCCGGCGGGGCGCGAGGTCTCGCGACATCTGCGGTCCCGGGCCGGGAACGCGGTGCCGGGCGGGAGGCGGGGAAGCCGGCGCGGAGCGCGGAGGGCCGGTGCGAGCCGGAGAGCGCCCGGGCTGCGCCGGGTCCAGGGGCCGACCTCGGCGGAGGCCCGCTGCCTGTCCCCGCGCCCCAAGCCCGGGCAGCTCGAGTGCCCAGCGCCGCCCGCACCCACTCCGGACATCCGCCGTGCCCGCGCGGCCGTGCCGGGCCCCCTCGGACCAGCGCGGCTCCGGTCTTGGACGAGGGCCGGCCTGCCTCCTGGGTTCCCGCAGCCCCCGCGCGGGCCGCGGCCAGAGGCCTGCCCGGTCCTCCTTGCGGTGACGGGGTGACGGGCACAGGGAGCCCTGGAGTTCTCGGTAGGAGCAGGACGGAGCTGCTCGGGGTCTTTCCGGAGCAGTGCGCCCACGGTAACGCAGGACGCCGTCACGGCGGGAGTCTTGCTTTGACGCGCTCAGCCGGGTGCGTGGAATGCACCGGGTAACGCGTCCCATCGCCTGCGCTTTGCGGTTCCGAGCAAGCCGCTCAGCCTCCTTGGGCCCCGGCTGTGCCAGCCCTGAGCTGGGGTTTCCGATCGAGCCCTCTTGGGCCTCGGGATTGGATGAGCTTGGGATTTGCAGATCTACGGAGGAAAGCATTGGTTTTTTTTTTTTTTTTTTTTTTTTGAAGATTTATTTGACTCTGAGAGAGAGGTAGAAAGAGAGAGGTGTCTTCCATCCGCTGGTTCACTCCCCAGATGGCCGCAATGGCCGGAGCTGCCCCAATCCGAAGCCAGGAGCTTCTTCCAGATCTCCCACATGGGCTCAGGGGCCCAAGGACCTGTGACATCCTCCACTGCTTTCCCAGGCCACAGCAGAGCTGGATAGGAAGTGGAGCAGCTGGAACCCGAACCAGTGCCCATATGGGAGGCGGCTGCTTCAGGCCAGGGCTTTAACCTGCTGCGCCCCAGCGTTGTATCTTAAATAGGACTAGTCACTGTTCCGACTTGGACTAGGTTCATCATGCCCAGGGATGACAGCCAGGCCACTGAGTAACAGCCTTGCAGCAGCCGACCAGAGAACTGCACACCGTTCCCCCACTGCAGGGGAGAGGGTAATGGGGCCCTTCCTGGCACAGAGAGAGGTCACTTGGGGCCGGCCACCAGGGCTGTCCCCCCACTCCAGGTGCTGAACTTCCTGGACTCCCGCTTCTCGTAGGGAACACAGCAGTTACCTGGGAAGGAAGCTCTTCATTCAGACTAAACGCTGTGTTGTGCTAATGCCAGTGGTGCAGCTGCACCCCGGGTCCCTGGGTCTGCTGTAGAGAGCTCTTGGGGGTCCTAGTGGACCCACACAGCTGGCGGCACCGAGGGTGGCTTCAGCAAGACCTCTGTGAGCTCGGAGGCGGACGTTAAGGCCGTGTGTGCAGGCAGGATGGGGCCTAAGTGGGCTGCTCCATGGAGACCTCCACTCCCGGCCTGCCCCGGCATGCTGTGGGGCCGTGTGTGACGCTGGTGCTCGCTGGCCGCAGGCCTCCCAGAGCTGCACGGAGGAGAGTGCTGGCTGAGCTCAGTGTGCACCACCACCTGCAGATGGCCCTGGGCTGCCACAGCTGCGCTACAACCAGGCTGTTCACCCGCACACGGGGCAGCCTTCTCCTGAATGAGGACCTGCAGGGGATGTGGGAGACTTCAGACCAGCAACCAGCCAGACGACTAGGGCCGGAGGAGCCATATCCCTTATCCGCGTGCTTCACCACAGACCCCGACCTCCACCGTCAGTGAGCTGCTCAGGAGGTCACGGCTCTGGCCACCCTGCCCGCCTCCCGCTCACCCGCCTCACCATCCCAGGGTCTTCATGCCATCAGCAGCCTGGACCCTGGCAGCCGAAGTTTCTCAGGGTCCTCAGAAAAGGCATGAACTCTGCCCAAGCATCCCCAGGAGACGGCAGAACCAGCCAGCGGTGCAGCGGTCAGGCCGGGGCCGGCACTGCGGCCCGGCGTCCCACGTGAGCGCTGGTTCAAGTCCCGGCTGCTCCACTTCAGATCCAGCTCCCTGCGAGTGCGCCTGGGAAAGCAGCAGCAGATGGCCCAAGTGTTGGGCCCCTGACACCCGTGGGGGAGACCAGGGTGGGGTTCCTGGATTCATAGTGGCCTGGCTGCTGCGGCCATTTGGGGAGTGAAGCAGCGGATGGAAGATCTCTGTCTCTGTATCTCTTGCTGTAAGTCTGACTTTCAAATAAAATAAATATTTAAAGGAAAAGAAAACGCTGAGCAGCCCTGACCGCCTGAGCAGTGCTGAGCACCCCAGCTTCAGACTGCCGTCGGGGAGAACGACGCTGGTGCTGAGTGCACGGGCTTCGTCCTTGTCATGGTGCTCTAAGCCACGGAATACAGCAACGACTTAGAAGACACCGTGTATGAGGTCTTACAGGTCATCGGAAAGGATCTAGCAGTGTGCAGGCAGAGGTGCCCACGCTGTGAGCCTTGTATAGACAGGATCTGAGTTTCTATGGGGTCCCAGCATCCAAGGGGAGGTCTCAGGCCCAGCCCCCAGCAGATCCCCAGGGATGGCTCTCCATGGTGACCATGTGATCACACACCCTTGCCCAGTGTGAGGATTCCACGGCATGTTGGTAGGCCAGGAAAAGCTCAAAGCTCCAAGCGTGGTTTCTAGCAAATGTGTCGTCTTCACACCACTGCAAAGCCAAGAAATCCCGATCTGAAATACTCAGTCAGGGCCGTGTGTCCTAAGACAGAAGAACGTGACGTCAAGACAGGACACGCCACCTGGCCCCTGACCCTCTGGCTCCGGAGCGGGTCCCAGTTTTATGTTATCAGGGAAGGACAGAAACACTTGCTGTGAGTGGTTCTCATTTGCTCTTTCTTTCTTCTCCCTTCTTGAACACACTGCAGTCCAGCTGTCCCCCCCAACTTGACTGAAACAGCTCAAAGCAAAATCAAGTCTCCACGCTGGCAAATACAATAAATAAATCTTCATTTTACTAAACCTATGGAGATTGATATCAAGAAACCAAACTTAGGGGCCAGCACTGTGGCGTGGCAGGTCAAGTTAGCATCCCGTAGGAGCACAGGTTCAAGTCCCGGGCTGCTCTTCCCGCCCAGCTCCCTGCTGATGCGCCTGGGAAAGCAGCAGACGATGGCACAAGTGCTTGGGCCCCTGCACCCATGTGGGAGACCCGGAAGAAGCTCCCGGCTTCAGAGAGGCCCAGCTCCAGCCGTTCCAACCATTCGGGGAGTGAACCAGAGGATGGGAGATCGATCTGTCTCTTCCTCTCTCTCTCTCTAACTCTCAGAATTAAACTTAGCTGCTTCCAAAGACTTACATGCACACTGTGATATGCAATGAATGCTGTGACGGAAACATGGGCTTTTAATGAAAAGGATCCCATGTGTTCACAGGTCAAGTGTTGGTCATCATTTCTGTGAGGGGGAAAAGAAAACACTGGGACACTTGGACCAAAACCTCTTCCAAAGGAGACAGCAACTTCTTTTATTGTGAAACTTTGAACTGAATTCACAGATTGAGTTTCAAAGGCTCTTATTTCCCACATTTTTAGTAAGAATCCCCACTCGCTGTGTCCATTAATTCTCAAATGATCTGGGAGGAGAGGAATTTGATGAACAACAAAAAAAACCTAAGGAAACTCTTGGTCTTGCTCCCTTCACTAGCGGTGGGCGGTGGACGACTTTCCACCTCCTGCACACACTGTATAATCATCTCCATCCTGCTGGGGCAGAAGTCTTGGCAACCACTGAAGTGTGCCCGACAGACCCACCACACGACAAAGACGAAGACACAGCCTTGCGTGTAACAGTCTGACGACGCTGTCTCGTACGGTTGTGGCTGTTTACTCCACATCAGTATGGCATGGGGTTCAGAGGATTCTAAGCTAACGCCACGAGAACTTTCGCTTTTATGTAGCATCCCCGTGTGTGTGGTTTTTGACATCGCGGGTTTTAAAGATGCTCTAGGAGTGGAAGAGCTGCAGAACTGAACCACTGATCTTCTAAGCACAAGTCACAGCTAAAGTAGTTCAGGCAATGTCACAGGCAACGCTGGAGCCCAAGAGAATAGTGTGCCTCTCACAGTGGGCCCACTGCTAGGGGCCTCGCACGAGAAACCAACGACACACACGTCCGCCCTTCAACCAGCTGACAGCTCTGTGCCACTGTCGCGCTGCTAAGCTCTGGATTTTAAATATGCACAGCCACACCCATACATTGACTTCAGTTTTTCAAGCACTGGGTGTGTGGTCCTCCCAAGTGGCTGGCTTTGGAGAAGCAGAATTAAAGACACTTCACAGCAGGTTTCAACACCAACCCGAATCGTGGGCGTTATGTTTATAGTCATACTGGTAAAACACTCACTGTCGTACATAAATTCACTACATGAACCAGAAATGAGCTAACTTACTTATTTCAACAGGTACATATCACACACATAATTTGTCCATATCTTAACGACTATTCCATAAATACTTGATGTTTCTATCAATATGCTACGGAACAGAATAATATTACATAAAAAGCATGTGGAAATCAGACAGAACAAGCTCTAAAGGGCTCCACTGCAGCTACAAAGTACAGCACAGTCTGAGAAGCCCCTACGCACCCACAGTCATTATCTGTCGAACCAAAGCTGACAGAGTCACCCACTACACATTCACATCTAGGAAGGAATTTATTCCATGGATTTGGAAACACAAAACGTGACGCAGGAAGCAGTACACGTGGCAAACTCCAGCACAGAACTGGCACACTTGTTTACAGTGCAAAGGATTCAACTGCTTGATGCCCTTGACGTTCCGAGTTCAGTCCCCCCGACAAATCCTTATGAGGTAACCCCGTCGTCCGCCCACACACACAGACACACGACACGCATCCACACGCGGTTCTCTACTGGGATCTCCGCTGAAGGGCAGCGCTCGCACACAGACCCACGGCGACAGCTACACAACATCACACAGGTCTTTAGTGCTAACAATACCAGCAGCTTCAGTCACAAGTAACACTTCAGTTGGTTTTCCTGATGGACATTCGAAAACCGACACCGTCACCTGTAAAGGGAAGACGGCCATTCCCCTTAGGAGCCAGTGCTGACGAGTCAGGTAATGTCTCTGTTCGATCGCCCGGCTCCGACAGCAACTTCAATCACACAACTTGAAAAGAAGCCCAGAAATGAAGGCGTCCGCGTGGCTGCGATGCTTCTGGCGCTGCGTGCACACAGCCCGGGGTCCTGGGCGCTTGAGGTGTTCTCACAGCGCTCTGCAGAATTAGGTCTGCTTTGCAGGAGGCGCATCACCTATCTAGGCAATCAGTAATCAAAGAAAACACAGGATAAATGGAACGTGGTTTTCCAGACGGCAGAAGACTGCAGGTTACCATGATTCGGCCAAACTTCTCAGGGGTCACCCAGCTTCAAGCTCTGCAGGTTAAGGCCTCCTTACGGAACGAGCGGTTGAGAATGTTTGCTCCCCACACCCAGAGCCACTCAGGCATATACTGTGCAAAAAGAAACTGAAAATGAAGAGAAAAAGATGACAAGGTTAGAACCCCAGACTGCTGAAACTCAAGGAGCGAGCTCGCAGAGCAGCCGACTAAGCCGGCAAAGGCCGAGCCCAGGGCGCCGGCGAACTGAGCGTCCGTTTCCCCTGAGATGCCCTGGAGAACAGAGACGTGACCCCCCCCCCCTTCTCTGACGAGGCTGAGCAGACCCACGCAGTGATACGATTCCCTCTGCACGTCACGTGAGGAACGCTAGGTTCACTGGTCACCAAGCAGAAAACCATTTCAGCAATAGAAGTCGGGCCGAACTCAGGGCCGCACAGGTAAGTACTGCAGGAGACCGGGGTTTGGGGCGCGTGGAGCAGACCTTGGGGGTGTCTCAGGGTGTCACGGGGCCTCAGGGCACCGGGGAACCGTCCTGCCCAGGTCTCAGCCAGGGGACTTGGGACGACGCCCAGAGCAGTTCCACGTGCCTCCCTGGCAGTGGGTGCCCCAGGCGGGCAGCGAGTGGGGGCGGGGGATGCTGCTCCACACCCTGCAAGCCCAGGACCGCCTCCCAACAGGAGCCACCCACTCCCCGCAGCCACAGTGCTGAGGCAAGGAGGCTGCGCTCTGCCCTGACGGCCGTGCTGGGATCTACGGAAGTCGGAACCTGGGTAGTAAGAAGACCAATGGGCAGACTCCCACTAAGCATGGGCCTGATGGGATGACGAAGGCGCTGAACAAGGTTACTCAGGACACATCCCGTTACCAAGTTGCAGTACGTGACGCTCTGACAGTCTAGCCTTGAACAATGGGTGACAACAGAGGTCACCCCACCTTCTTCTCAGTGAATGAGCCCACACAGAACAGGTGCGCCTGCTGACAGTCCTCGGGCTGCGGCTGACCCCAGCAGGCCCCACAGAAGCTCCGGGGAGGCACGCGTCAGCACGCCACCTGGGCCAAGGGAACGTCCTGGACTTTCTGACAGAGCAAGGTTTTGTGGGAAAATGCCTGCCCCCTCCCCCCTGGAGCCTGTGCCCGAGGAGTCGTGTCGCGGTCCCTCAGCAGAACCTGACAGGCTGGCTCACACAGTCAGAGGCACGAGCCGGACCGTCAAAGCCCCCACACGGGGACGTTCTTTATCCACTGTCCAGAGAGTCAGCATCTGAAAACCTGCTGTAAAATGTCCACTCACAACCACTGTCTGTAAGCAAACAGCACCGAGGTGCACCGTGCCAGGCCCCCGAGCAGCTGCACGTGGGACGGAACCGGCTAATAGTTTCGGGCTCCTTCCACTGTGATCTTAGTGCCCCGGGCACGGATCGATGGAGAGATAATGGAAGTCAGAGGGAAGAACTGTGTCCTCTGGGTATTGACAAATAAACCAAAGGGGCTGACTCGTGGATTCCTACAGCTACCAATGGAGACCAGAAAGGAAGGCTACTGGGACGTGCAGCAGATGGCAGGCCCTCAAGTGAGGGGGCAGCGCTGGCTGTGCACTGGGGGAGGGTGGTCTTCAGGGTCTGACCACGTCCAGGGGTCCTGACCAGTTGGTCTAAGCCTTAAAAGGCGGCTGGCTGTTCCTCCTCTGCCACTAAGCCAACTCCTCCTCCTGCAGAGAAACCCTGAGACAGCCACACAGCGAGTCTGCGGAGCCCGAGGGAGAAGCGCACACAACAGCGTGACAGGTAAAGGGCACGCGTTCCCCACCCACGGGCTCCGTGGGACCTGAGGACGAAGGACCAGTGGGATTGCCAGGACAGACACGCGCTGGGATCCTCTCCTGAAGCACAGAGCCCCAGGGAAAGGTGTGGAGGACCGTACCCTGGGTGCCCCGCCCAGCGGCCGTGGGCACCTGCAGGGGCAGGGAGGATTCTGGGTGTGGAGTAACGTACCCCGCCCAGAGGCCCTGGGCACCTGCAGGGGGAGGGCGGATACAGCCGACAGCCCCAGCCCGGCCGCCCCGCCCTGTGCTGGGGCTCCTTCCTCCACCTCTCCCCGGGATGCTGAGAGCCTCCAGGGACTCCAGGAAACCTGGCGCTTTTTCTCCTGAGACGTTCTCCGGGGGTGAGGCCACCCCTCCCTCGGCTGTCTTCCAGCTAATGCACTGGCTTATCTCCCCCGCACCCCTCACCCGAGCGCCCCGGCACACACCTGCCGCCCCCACTGCTCGTCAGTAGTCAGTACTCCCAGAACCTGCAGAGCCAGCACACACAGCTCTCACTGCCGCTCCCGAGCCCCGGCCCCTCGACGGGACGCAGACACTGACTTCTCAGCAAACCAGAGAATTCGTTTTGCGTCTTCCTTGCCTTCAACCCATTCGATTCAATCTATTACCAGATCTTGTCAAAAAACAGACTATCATTTGTATTCAATTCCCAGTGTGGAAAACTAACTGGGATCAACTGCATGAGATAAGACCTTACAGCATGCGTCTCCCTTCCTGCAGGCCAGAGGCTGACAGCAGACTGAAATCTCGGGGTGGCTTCCGGCACTGCAGACAAGACACCCAGGGCGCCCACACTCACCCCAGGGCGCCTGCCCTGTGCAAGCCCCAGGTCCGGTTCTGATTCCAGCTTCCTGTTAATGCGCATGTGGGAGGCAACCAGCGATGGCTCAAGCGGTCCCATCCCTGCTGCCAATGAGCTCGGGCTCCCGGCCCAGCCCGGCCCGGCCCGGCCTCAGCTGCTGCAGGCATTTGGGGAGTGGTAAGGATTTCTCTCTCTCATCGTCTCTCTCTGTCTCTGCCTTTCAAATAAATAAAACCCATCTACTGAAAACAACAAAAAAAGTCACACGAGCAAAAGCTATCAGAGAAATCTGCTATGGCAAGACAGCGATTAATGAATCAAATATTTCCTGTAAAAGTGAAAAAAACAATGAATAGAAGTGGAAACAGAGGGAAAATGTAGTTCTAACAGCTTTCTGCAGATCAGGCAGCTTGCCGGAACTTCTTAGAAGAATACGCTCTTGAGAAAAGTTCATCAGTGTGAACAAAGCCAACTGTGACGAAGCTGCTGGTGTTCCATGCACACCCTCAGAGCCGTCCGAGCCGTCCGAGCCGTCCGAGCCGTGCCTGCGTCCCTAAGGGGCCTGCTTCTCAGGCGGCCCGCCCTCCTCACTCCAGGCTTTGAGGGCCTGCAAACAGCCACTTACATAAAACCACTTCTTATTCAAAAAAAAAAAAAAGCTGTAGGCAAATCTTTTGGTTAGGAATAAAAACTAACTTGATTTACTTAATCTATTTACGCAGCGCTGGTAAATCTACTCATCTTTATGCAAAAAGTCCCCAAAACATTAGCTTGATGACTAAGATAACTCCACGCACTAAAGGACACAATTGTCAGCCAAGCCTCGTCCATCTACCACAGATAAAGAACACACACCTATCATAGCAGTTAGGAGTTTCTCCCCAGTACTTAAGAGCATTCTTTCATACATGTTTTATTTTAAAAATACTTCTTTTTACAACGTCCTTCTAAGAATTTCACTCTACAGGGGCTGGTGCTACAGCACAGCAGGTTAAGCTGCTGAGGCTGGAGTCCTGGCTGCTCCACTTCCAATTCGCTCCCTGCTAAGGCACCCAGGGAAAACAGTGAAGACAGCCCCAGTCTCTGGGCCCCTGCACCCACGTGGGAGACCTGAAGAAGCTCCTGGGTCCTGGCTTCCTCCTGGCCCAGCTCTAGCCACTGCAGCCTCCGGGCCATGAACCAGATGAAAAAGATTTCTGTCTTGGGGCTGGCGCCGTGACTCACTTGGTTAATCCTCCACCTGCGGCGCCGGCATCCCATATGGGCATAGTCCCAGCTGCTCCTCTTCCAGTCCAGCTCTCTGCTGTGGCCTGGGAAGGCAGTGGAGGATGGCCCAAGTGCTTGGGCCCTGCACCCGCATGGGAGACCAGGAGGAAGCACCTGGCTCCTGGCTTCGGATCAGCGCAGCACACCAGCCATAGTGGCCATTTTGGGGGTGAACCAACGGAAGGAAGACCTTTCTCCCTGTATCTCCCTCTGTCTATATCTCTACCTGTCAAATGAAAAATAAAAGAAAAAGATCTCTGTCTCTCCCTCTCTGTAATTCTTTCAAACAAATAAATAAATCTTAAGAAAAAATACTAAAATACCAAATCTTGGTCACATCTGATCAAACTTAAAAAAGACAACCTGGGGCCGGCTTTGAGGTGTAGCAGGTAGAGCCACCGCCTACAACGCCAGAATCCCATATGGGTGCCAGTTCGAGTCCTGGCTGTTATACTTCCAAACCATCTCCCTGCTAATGCGCTTGAGAAAGCAGTGGAAGATGACCCAAATCCTTGGCTCCCATGCATCCCATGGGAGACCTGGAAGAAGATTTGGGCTCTTGGCTTCTGACCGGCCCAGCTCCAGCTGTTGAGGCCATTTGGGGAATGAACCAAGGGATGGAAGATCTCTCTCTCTCTCTCTCTCTCTCCTTCTCTCTGTGTAAATTCTGCCTTTCAAATAAATAAATAAATCTCTAAAAAAAAATTCTTTATTTCTTGAACAAATAGCCCAGCTCCAGCCATTGCAGCCATTTTGGGAGAGAACCAGTGGACGGAAAATTAACCTTTCTATCTCTCCTCTCTTTAACTCTGACTTTCAAATAAATAAATAAATTTGTTTAAAAAAAAATAAACGATCTTTACTCAGAAACTGACTCAAATGCAGTTCCACATGCAGGAGCTCACAGAAAGGAGGAAAGTATGGCTTCCTCTTATTAATTCATCAAAATAAATAAGCGATGCCGTCACCATCCCAGGAACGCACTGACAGTGGCAACCTCTGCGCAGAGACAAGCGTTCACACTGTTTCTGCAGCCACTGGGGAGTGAGCCAGCAGACGGAAGCGCTCGCTCTGTAATTCATTCAAATAAACAAATCAGTGCTTTTAAAATAACACGACAGCTCAATCCTTGTCACGCCTGAACAGACTTAGAAATGTCTGCTTCTTCGACAGATGCGTCCAGGACAGGCTGAGCGACTACCTGACGTGACGGGCACAGGAGCTGGAGCTGCAGCTGCGGCCTCACCGCTCTCGGAGAGACACTCGTCCTTGTTTTACTCTGAAACCCCCCGCTGTCTGCTAATGCCGCAGCTACACGTCTCACGTCAGGTGTCACGTACACGGAACCCGTGAGAATTCTTAGCATGTCAGGTGTAACAACCAGGAGGGACCACGCCCACCTCCCCACCTCAGGCTTCCGCCAGAGTCCGCTGTCACGTCTGAGCACTCAGAGCTGAGAGCACACCGCTACCTGAATAGAGTGGGCCCAGTATCCTGTGGTCCTCGTGGAAATGCCCAGCGTAGAGACGGCGTGATGGGCGTACACTTTCGGCGAAGGCACCAACCAGGGGCACTTGTGCAGGAAGCTGCTGGGTGCAGCCGTGTTGGTGGCTACGTAGAAGGGGATCAGACTCTGCACGAAGATGCCTTTCGAAGTGTACTCGTACTGCAGCGCTCGGCTCAAGTGGTCCAGGTAGGCCTGTCAGGACAGAGCGGGGAAAACACAGACCTGAGCTCAGAGGGAAGAGCACTTGCTTAGAACACCTCCAGCAACACCCGGCCGAGGCCCACATGCACTGCCGACTGAGCCTGGCCACCAATTCTAGTCTCTCTCCTGCGGATGCCTGACCTTCGAAGCAGAGTACGCAGCCAGCTGCGGAGTGGGTTTGCAGCAGGAGCCGGAAGAGATGGTGACGATGGCGCCTCTCTTCCTCTCCACCATTCCAGGCAACACTATCCGGACCATGAGACTAGCGGCGGCAATGTTCACGTTTATGATGTCCCAGAGCTTGTCCTCTGGGACCTGAGTGAAATACTGGGGGTGGGGGTAAGACACACCCACGTTGTTCACCAAGATGCCGATGTCTTTGTCTTTCAGGGCTTCGCGAATGGGTGCGTAGATCTCTCGGCCGCTGCTGAAGTCGGCGACTATCACGTCGGTCTGCACCCCGTAGGTGTCAGCGATGCCTCTGGCGACGGCCTGCAGCCTCTCGTCGCTGCGGCTGATGAGGACGACGTTGAGACCGCGGCTGGCGAGCTCCTCGGCGTAGGCTTTCCCGATGCCGTCCGTCGCCCCTGCAAGGCAAGCAGGGGCGTGAGCACCATCGCGCCACGCCGTCAGGTTTGTGCGATGGGTTCTCGTAGGGAGCGGGCAAGGACAGTGCCTGAGGAGCACTGAGAGTGTTCGGCACAGACACTGGCACAGTCAGGAGTCACCTCCAGCACCAGGCTGGCTACGGGACACAGCGGGAATGTGCTCTCCAGTGTCCACCTGCTCGAATGAGTGCCGAGAGCTGCTTTTCCACAGAACGATAATCAAGTGAGATTCAAAACCGGCGCAGCATCTCGAACACCGCGGCCGTTTCCAAGGACTGCTTTGGAAAGGCAAAGCGGGTAAGGAAATACGGCTGCGGCGGGCCTGGGATCAGAAGCAGGCGGGATGCGGACGAAAAGCACGGGGCAGGCACACCCTGCGACGAGGGGCAGGGAGATGCGCGCACAATCTAAAGTGCACGTCCCCCGGAACCGTCGCAGTGAATCCACTGTCCCCCGGAACGAGGCGTCCGACTGCAAACACGAGTCACGGGAAGGGCTATTTGGACTCTAAATCAGGTTACCGCTGACGACAGCCCAGCGTCCGTACTGCCTGGTCAGGTCTGCTCTGCTCCCCAGGCGGGGGATAAAATGCAGCCGGACCAGGCTGTAGAAGTCGCAGATGATGGTGATGCTCTTTCTGGCCGTGTACCAGGCTCCAACCAAGGCGAGGGCTTCCATGTAGCAACTGCAGGACCTGGCAACTTCCCTGTACAGGAGGTAGAAGCTGTCCACAGCCGCCATGGCAGCCTGCAGGGCAGGGGAGAGACAGAGATGCGTGCTTAGGAGTTAGAATCACAGGACGGTGCATCATCCGGGGGAAGAAAGCGATCAGAGGGCATCCAAGACGCTTCACAGAGGAAGCTGGCAATACCGAGTCACCACATTCCTGCTCAGATCCGCACACTGTGCCACAGTGCGGATCAGAGTGCACACGACACGCCCGGGAAAGCTGCGACCCGGTAACCGGCACACACGCCGCTCCCTCGGCAGCTCACAGGCACATGTCTCCCTCTGCTCCCTGCATCAGCGCTGGCGCAGGGGCTGCTGCCCACGTGCAGACACAGCACGGGAGACCCGGAGTGGACAGAGACACGGCCCTGGCCTCGAGGAGCTAACCACTCCGCTGAGACCAAAGTGAGCTTTCCTCAACTTTAACAAAAATGAAAAATGGATATTTAGAAAGAAAGAGAGTGTGCTACCTCCCAAACCACAGAAACGGTTCTCGTACAAACCCACAGGTCGGGGACTTCTGTCTCGCTAGTGTGATTTGCGCGCCTGTGTCCTTGCTTCGCCTCTCAGGTTCCAGAAGAGTACAAGACAATCTGGTAACAGCCACAGAGGACACACTCACTGAGCACCTCCTCTGCCTCTGCGCACTGTGACGACGCGAAGGTGGAGAGGACGAATTAGACAACTGTGTGGAGGTGAAGACGATTCAGAGCGTCACACGGTCAGACAAACACGTGTCTGCAACTGGACACAGCCCTGCAGAGGCAGGCAAAGGGCAGGCGCCGAAGCCCAGGGCAGGCTTGAGGGAGCTGGGCTTCACCCCAACTCACCGGGAGTCACTGCGCTGATCCCAGGTGAGCGCCCATGAAGGAAGCAAGGGCAGAAAACCTAAAGCACCTGTCAGCTGTTCACACACAGAGGTGAGGCGCACACGTGAGAAAGCTGGCTGTAAGCCAGCAAAAGGAAACATAAAACTTCTGCGAGAGGCCCCTCTTAAATCCCACTAAAAAGGGGAAAAAGACCTAAAACTAGAAACTACTCAACAATAGCAGTAAAGCTGCCACGAGCCCGATAAGAGAGCGCGAGGCCCCCCACCCACTGCGTGTAACTCGAGCGCGGGGCACCAGGCAGCAGGAAATGGACGCAAGAGAATCCCAGCTCCCTGTGAGAGAGGCACCCGGGTAAGGAAAGCACTGCAAACCCGCCGCACCCCAGCAGGAGCGCCGGGCAGTGGGTGCCACGCGCCCTCGGCGGGCGAGGACTCTCTCAAGCCGCAGGTCTCATCCGCGGCCCTGCCACTACCTAGGCGGGTACAGGCGAAGTCAGAACAGTTCTCCTCAAGGGAGAAGGGGTGGGGGTGGAGCCGGTCTACAGTACTGTAATCTGCCGGTCAGGATGCCCACGTCCCGCACTGGAGGGCCTGGGTCCACGTCCCAGCCCCACTTCCGGGAGTGCTGTGCTCACGCTCCCCTGGGGGCAGCGGGGGACTGAGTCCCTGCCACCTCTACCAGAGCTCCCCCCTCTCCCATCACTGTGGTCAGCTGGGGAGGGAGCCGGCAGATGGGAGCTGCCTCCCTCTCCCGGCACTGTGGTCAGCTGGGGAGGGAGCCGGCAGATAGGAACTGCCTGTCCTGCTCTCAAAACCTTCGTCAGGCCACTGTACCTCCCATGGGTAAAATACCACACAGTGGGGTTCTGTTTACGGGGCAGACATCTGGTACAGCAGTTAAGGCAGCACTTGGGAGGCCACCACAGTGGCAGAGGAGTTAGAGATGCCAGCATCCCACAAAGACTGCTTCACTTCCGATCCAGCTCCCCGCTAATGCACCTGGGAAAGCAGTGGAAGATGGCCCATGTGCTCAGGTCCGGGCACCCACGTGGGAGACCCTGATAGAGTCCAGGTTGCTGGCTTCTGCCTGGACCAGCCTTGGCTATTGTGGCCATTTGCCAAGTGAACCAATGGAGAGAAGATCGATCTCTCTCTCTTCGCTTTGGTCACCTTCCCTTTCAAATAAATAAATCTTCAAACAAACACACACACACATAGCACGTGGGATACCTGGATCCCGTACTGGAGCAACTAGGCTCAAGTCCTGGGTGGGCTTGGCTTCCAGCTTCCTGCTGTGCACCGTGGGAGGCTGAGCTGATAATGCAAGTGCCTGGGTCCCAGCCAATCATGTTCCTAGATCCCAACTCTAGCCTGGCCCAGCACCAGCTGCGGTGAGCATCTGGGGCATGAACCAGTGGATGGGAGGTCTCTCTTTCTTTTAAATAAATAAAATAAATTGAGGCCGGTGCCACGGCTCACTAGGCTAATCCTCCGCCTTGCACACCAGGTTCTAGTCCCTGTCGGGGCGCCGGATTCTGTCCCGGTTGCCCCTCTTCCAGGCCAGCTCTCTGCTGTGGCCCGGGAGTGCAGTGGAGGATGGCCCAAGTGCTTGGGCCCTGCGCTCCATGGGAGACCAGGAGAAGTACCTGGCTCCTGCCATCGGATCAGAGCGATGCACCGGCCACAGCGCGCGGGCCGCGGCGGCCACTGGAGGGTGAACCAACAGCAAAAGGAAGACCTTTCTCTCTGTCTCTCTCTCCCACTTTCCACTCTGCCTGTCAAAAAAATAATAAATAAATAAAATAAATTAAAAGATCACATGCCTTTTGTGATCCATGCCACAAGGAAAATAAATGCAAAAAATAGTAATTTATATACAATACAAACTCTCAAACAGAATGTACTGACATAACAAAACTGTGATCAAAAACAAAGTCCAGACCCCGGAACAGCAAGCCCACGCTGCTGACAACGGAAGAGCCCACAGCAGAGCCTGAAAGCACCGCTCTTCCCGAAAGAACACCGCCCGGAGATGCACGGGCTGCAGGGCAGGCAGCGCCTGTGGGAAAGCCAGCCGCACAGGGTGCCAAGAGGGCAGGTGCGCCTCATCGTGGGGTCGGGTGTGTCTCTCACGTGGGGTCGGGTGTGTCTCTCACATGGGGTCAGGTGTGTCTCTCACGTGGGGTCAGGTGTGTCTCTCACGTGGGGTCAGGTGTGTCTCTCACGTGGGGTC